ATTTGATGACAGCAAAGCACTTGATCTTCCTAAGAGGAGGAATGCTTTCATGGAGGACTTTCTAAGGGAAATGGCTCATATACACGGGGGAAAACCATGAAAACGCCCATGCAGGCAGCCCATTCGCAATTAGGTTTAGGAAATTTAGGCAACAGATAGCAAATAAATTAACAATAATAATACACTGGATTACCAGTATATTACTACAAGAAGATGAGTCATCTTCACAACTGCTGCTTCCATGCTCGCAGTGTCATTTGCTCGTGCAATATTAGTCACTACTTTGTGTGCCGGAGGTTTCACATGAAGGGCCTCTACACCTGAGTATAAAATGTTCGTGTTCCAGTAAACACTGAATTCAGAGGGGCAAGAATAACTCTTTCATGGTGGATAACTCAGTTACCAAATGGCTTTCTAAGGCTCTATTCAAGCCGTTGTATAAATGTCATAATTCCCAACTAACAACGCTTTGTAGTCAGACCTTGCTATGTCACAAAAAACTAGTTTGGGCATTAAGCTTGAAGTTTTCAACTTTGTGCCGACTTGATATAAGAGTCGGCCAATCAGAGCATATACATAAAACCTATTGAGAGAGAAAGCTGTAGACACATACATGCATGCACAAATTTAGCTTCTCTAATTGGCTATGGCTTAGACCCTCTCTCGCAGGTGTGAATGGAACTCCCACATTTTGTGCCTTATGATTATGCGTCTATGACATTTATACCATCATGTGAACGGAGCCTTAGGATGGCATACTAAGAAGATGCACTGTCTTGTGGGGATAAGCAATTTATACTCCTAAGCCTAAAAAAAAAAACTTGGAAAAAAAAGATCACGACTTAAATTTGTTGTCTAATTGCTCTAATTTGAGGCACATTATGAGAGGAAAGCAAAGGTAGTAATCAGAATTATTTAAAAAATTTTATCCTTATATTTTTCTTAAAAATTCTGTAAAATAATAAAATTTGTGGTTTTCCTCAAATAAATATATATGGAAAAAATAACAGCCACATAATCACAGATTTCATTTTGTTATATTTTATTAACAAAATTTAAATTATTAAAAATCTCTTTCATGAAGGGAACATAAAACATCATGAAAACAATGAAAAAGAAGCAATATTTAAAAAAGATAGTAGGCTTATTGATGAGGCTCCCATCAAAAGAATCAAACCCCAAAATATTTTCATTTGCTTCAGTGTCCCGACTGAAAATTTCACTGATTTCAATGAATATATTTTTAAAAAAATCTTTTATTTTCAAGTTCTTTCATGCAAAACGTCCAAATTTGGTACAAATCAAATTCATCCCCCTCTTTTTGATAGCTACAATATTATATTTAACAGTTTTAATAGCTATCAGTATGTAAACAACATAATGTAACACCATAAAAGAAAAACATAAATGATGACATTTTAATTTTGGCATAGAGAAATACATATTTACCCCAAAAGAGAGCTTGTATTTCTACCTTCTACGTCAGAGTCAATAACTGAAATGTCCAGATCAGAACTGAGAAGAAAAGAACCATAATTAGTTTAATTAAGATACAATAACACACCGACCAAGTATTAATTTGAGAGTCAAGCAACAAAAATCAGCATCATATTTTGAAATATTCACTATTTGAAAATATAACGCTGATTTTGGTTGCTTGACTTCTAAATTAATACATAATTAGTTAACCATAATTAAGTAACTGTAATATCATGCACAGCTAATATCTATTTTAAAAATAAACCAACTTACCTCAGGAAAGCCTGGTTTGTCTTAGGAACATTAGCTGTAACTTCTGGCGTAGAAAAGTCAAATTTTTCACTTCCGGACCTAAGAATGAAAGAAATAAACTGCTATAACATAATTAAAAAAAAAAAAAAAAAAAAACATGAATAAATAAATAACACATAACAAATTTAAGCATTAAGCTATGTATGACTACCACCCATCTCAGACAGTGCGACAGATATTGCTGTATACTGTTTCGCCATACCCTGTGTAGCTATTATATCATGCTGTATAACCACAGTTTAGAAAAATTACAAAATGTGTTATTTATATCTATCTAAAATGGTACATTACTACATGATTTGTAAGAATAAATTAGAGGGCTCTGCGAATGAAATTCCTTCCAATTAAAAAATGTAGGAATAAAGAAAATGCAGGAATTGCAAATGCAGAAATGAAAAAGGGGATTATATTTTTTGTACAGAATCCAGATGACATATTTTTCAACATTTTAGAAATTTCAATATTAATTTTAGGGGCCATAAAATATTAGGCCCCTAAAAGCAGAATATAGTTTTTAAATGTTCAGATAATCTTCCTATGAGAAGAATTCCTTTGAGAAGTACACATCTGAACCACAATTAAAAAAACATGTACAAGAACAGAGCTGAGGACTTCTGTTTGCAGAAAGTCTGTCACATAACATATGAAAAGTTTCTTATTGGTAGATTTTTGATCAGACGGATATTTTAATGTTATACAGAGAAAGCATTCACTCCCTTTATACTGGAGATAATTCAATTTGGACAATGGCAAAAAGGCTAAGCAAGCCTGAGCGTATTGGTCCCATTCTTGGCACTAGTTTGGTTTACGCTCAAAATACACAGCAGATATTTTCTAATTACCTGCATCCCAATATCAATTCAATTCAGCTTTTGGTGGAATTTACCATTTGTGACATATTTTTCAAAAACTACACTTCACAACATGCATACATGACAAATACACAGAACCATAAATAAACAAGCAATAATATATATTTATATATAAATTTTACTAAATGATCATAAAATGTTCCAACGCTAAAAGAAAGTTTTAACATCCAAGTAAATGACATAATAAAAAAAAGCAAGTTGAACAGCGAGCACATGAATAAATGTGCATACACCTGTTAAAAATATACCATAGGTAACTGACAAAGCATTTCGTAGCAAACATATGACTATAAAATTTCCAATAATACATGTAATGATGGTGAATTCAATTTAGATCGCAAGAACATGCTCATACTTTTGAAAAGATTCAATTATTTCAGCAATTCCTTGTGAATTGGAATTTACCCTTTCAATATTTCCCAACAATTTAGTGTGAATGGAGGAATAAATTATTATAACAGAATTGAACAATTATTAGCATCCCCTCATACACACACATACAAAAAAAAAAAAAAAAAAAAAAAAAAAAACTTACTTTGTAAAAAAATCATCCGGGCAATGATTCTCCTTTGACACAGATGCAGTTGTATCAATAATTTCTGACCTTCAATAAAAAAAATACGCATATTTTACTTCGGAATTAACTTACTACGAAATCATAAACACGGGGTAGTCGATATAAAGAATAAATTATTTCTCACCTTTCGAAAACATCCGCTTGTTCGGAATCTTCCACATCTCGGGAATTTAATTTCATATTTTTTTCTTGAGCTCGACGTTTACGCTGAATTCTGGATCTTTTATTAAAACCAGGATGTTTTTTCGGTCGTCCTTGATATTTTCGCATATTTTTTGCAAACTGACCACAGTACAAATAAATGTAAACAAAACGAGTGCGGAATAGCAATGCAATAGGGTTGCCGTAAACGTCATTCTGCTGACAGCTGACAATGTTTAGTGAAAACTGTGTATAAAGGAATATATGAAACGCTTCTAAATATTATTTAGAAAAAAATATGATTTATAACTGATATCAAAATCAATTACTTCGTGAATTTTTGCAGAAATAAGATTACAATGTTAAATTTTAACTCGTAGCGCCATCTATTGATGGCTTTCCAAACTACACATTAAAATTACGTATTTCAAACTAATTTTTTTTAAATATAATATTTAAGTAAATTTCATTTCAAACCTGATTCTAACATTGTGATTCGAAAACTGACCTATTGCTTTATATTTCTGCCAAATTGCACGCAACATAGTTTCTTAATTAGCGATTCTGCGTGTAAAAAAATTTTTAGTATTGTAATGCTGCTGTAGTAGACCACCTTAATTTTCATTTCACACTTATTCAAACACCTTTATTGTTAAATAGATCTCGCATGTTGTTCTAAAAATACTGCTCTCACTAACGTGGTATGTTAACAGAATAAGGCTAAGCTTACGTGCTTCTTTCCAAGACTGTTTTTGACATTACTCGCATTTATATGTAGAAATAATCGATAATGCGTGCAAGAGAAAATTCCCTAGTTCATTTGACGGTGTCAAAATTTTCGTCTTCTCTAATTCTGGCTTTCCTTTGATAGTAGTGGTGCATCGTCAGGCTGCCTGACTCTCAAGGACCTACAATAACAATTAAAAGTTGTTGCAACAAAAATAATAGTGCAAACTTATAAAAGGTACAAACTTGGCTTTTCAGGAAATACATCTCGAAAATAATATCATCACTGAAAATAGAAGCAGGAGCTGTAAGCAGAAATCGAGTACAGTGGTAAGTCGATAATTGAAAAGCATGAATAATTAAGGTAACATAGCAATCAATAAAATACGACATAAATTATGTGAAAATTTTAAGTAAAATTTTCAGATGTAATTATGCCTATATGTCTACAGACGTGTAAATAAATATAGGTTCAACTATATGGAACGTAAAAGGAACATTATGTAATATGATGTTTCAAGCATCCAGTAAATGCTTGAATAGAGTACATCATTTTCTACGAACCGAAATTTGTGTATTTAACCAGAAGACTAAATGTTGATAAGTTTTTACTCTTTTGTACAATCTAAAGTATATTATAGCGATATCACTAACGTAACTATTTAATGCAAGTGAAATTTACTAATCAGTTGCATCGGTACTTAAAAGTAACAATGGATAGGGAATAGAGGGAAAATTAGTCATTTTTAGGGATTCAAGGGAAAATGAATAGTCTTGCTATCAGTTATGAGAAAATTTTCGGTTGGCTAGGTTACCATTTCTGATACAAAAGGTTTTCAGCGGAAAAAAAAAAATACAAGTTCTTCTGTCAAGCAACTTGAATGGGAGTTCTCTGCTTCCATGGTCTAAAGATGCCTGTCAATGATACTGAAAATGTAACCTCTTCGCAATGCATTGCATTGCTTAAGAAATCTATTTCGCATTTAGAAGAACCGATTCACAAGGAAGCTAATTATGTATTTGTTACTTTCGGAGCATCGGTAAGTTACTTTTGCTTAAATCCGGCGCGAATTTGATATGTCTATTTATACTGATTCTGAAATGAGATGGAGTTATTAAAAGCAGTCTTACAGAATTAATGTACGCTGTTCTTTTGTCCGTCCGGGTTATTTCTCACCTTATGTTTTGCAGTTAGGTGCTAAATATCATAGGTTGTGATACATTTATACTTTTAATGCAGTTAATGTTTTTTTTAAAAATTATTTTCGGTGATATCCCTGCTTTCATAATGCATATTGTAGTGCGTACTTAAATGATAGAATCATTTATGAGAAAATAATGCGTTTGTACTTGCAGGCTCGTGATAAATATAGACTTGTTTTATGTTAGGTTAAGTGATTAAGGCAAAGCAACTCGAGGGCTATTTGTCTACAGGAAAGGACACTTTCGTGGAGGGCTTTTTAAAGGACACTGGCTCGTACTCATGTTATAGTTGGGAAAACCCACGAAAATAAACCATGCAGCCAGCCCTTTCGCCGGGATTCGATCCCAGGTCGAACTACCAGTTCAGTGACTTTACCGCTCAGCCGCTAGTGGGCTATACGCTTGTGAAGTCATGTGGAAGGTTACAGATTACAAATATGAATCGCTAGAGTGCTACAGCTAAATTTGCACGATCTAAAATAAAGGATTTAATTAATTAATTTATTTTTTGGGTACTTTTCCGTTTTGCCACCGCAGGCGATAAAGTCGCCAATAATGGTACAACTGAGGCGAAAATATAGAAAAGGCAAAGACAAGGGTTAAACTCGTCAATTCTAATGAGAATGCACTAGCAAAGTAAAGCACTGCGATTTTACATAATTTCTGAGTAAGCTATTAGTACGAACTGAAATAATTCTTGCATTTAAACTTGCATTCCAAATCAAGATTTAACATGAAATTAATGTAGATAATTACTGAGAGAATTAGATTTTTGTAGCGTAGTTTGCGTGAGATGAGATCACTTGGGATCACGTGATATGAACCGGCGAATCAGAATGTTGAACCATGAAAGCATAGTAAATTCTTAAATAAATGTCTTTTTACAAATTTATTATCTTTCTTTATTGGCTTTTTACAAAATTTTAAACTATATTAAAATGCTTATGCCTTCAAAATAAAAAAAAAATCTTAGAACTAACATTTGTTAACATTTTTTCTGTATGTTGTCACCAATAAAGTTTGCTTGGCGAGATTTACACCGGCGAAACAGAAAAGTACCATTTTTTGTATACAAAAAATAAAGAATGTACTCTTAAAAGAAGATTTAGGGTCTTAATTTATAAAAGTAGAGTTTGGAATTGATCTTCAATTGGTGTTACGAGATTGGCACCTTATTTTGAAATATTTGGCAATAATTGTAGAAACTATAATGCATTAAATATGGTAACTTGCTTTAATACTAGGAAATTTGTGGCTAGTAATGTCCAAATACCGTTAACATTCGCCAGAGCAAAACTCTGAAACTACGTTGGTACTTCCAGCTGAGAATTGTATATTCTGTGCCGGTTTTTTTTTTTTTTTTTTTTTTTTTTTTTTTTTTAGTCCAAAGGGATTTGAATCCCGAAGGACTATTAGTTTCGTTTTGACATTTTGCGTCGGACTCATAAATGTCGGTTCACTTTTCAAACTGTTGCCACAAAATGTTAGAGTCCTGCATTATATTTGAAGAAATTAAATAATGAAAAATCTGCATAAATGTATGTATATTTCTCGTATTGTGATAAAACAACGGTACATAGAGTCATCGAATTTTGAATAACGTAATCCTCCAACGAATATGAGCATGTGGAAGACCAAATTTGAAATTTGAAATTTGTTTTATGATCGATTTCCTATTTTTTAAAACTTTGACAAATTTTTGATTAACAAACTCAAGGATTTCAAAGCGAGCAATGGCAACGTTGTGCAGAAAAAACATTTTTATCTCCGGCGCGTGAGTTTTTGTATCGGAAATTCTAAAGATATGCTCATTTTAAAACTATTTTGCGATATTCCTGTTGAATGAATTTTATGGTTTAAGTACGAAAGAACATGATGTTTAACAAATAAAGATAACGCACAAAACGTTAAAAAAACGTAATTTAATTTGGACGTAATTTAAAATCTGAAACATTTCAGATTTTTTTTTTTTTTTGAATGAATAAATTTAATGTTATGAGTCTTTTAAACCACAAGTTTTATATTTTGCTGAAGATATTTACAACAACAAGAAAAAAGAAATAAAAAAAGTGAACTAACTTATAAAACTTGAAAGAATAATCTAGTTTTAGTAACAATTGCCAAATTCTTCTGAGTGGAGGAGTTAAAATTTAAGTGTGGAGATGTCAAATATATACATAATAAATAACATGCATTATGAGGATATGCTATTTAATTATGATTTTATGCTATTAAGTGAAGGAGGGCTATTAATTTCGTTTTGGCATTTTGCGTTGAAAACTTTAAATGTCGGTTCACTTTTCAAACTGTTACCACCAAATTTTACAGCCCTGTATTATATTTTAAGAAATTAAATAATGAAGAATCTGCATAAATATATGAATGTTTCTCGCATTGTGATAAAACGACGGTACCTAGAACCATCAAATTTTGAATAACGTAAGTTTCCACCCTAATATGGGCATCTGGAAGCCCAAATTTGGGATTATTATATATTTCACATGTTGTAACACATTTTTGATTAACAAACTCGACGATATCAAAGCGAGCAATGGAAACACTGTACTAAAATTATTTTGCGATATTGCTGTTGAACTGAATTTCATAATTTAAGTGCGAAGAACGTGACATTTAATAAATAAAGGTAACCCATGAAACGATAAAAAAACGCCCCCTTGGGCGTAATATAAAATTTGAAAGCTTTTAGACTTTTCTATGCATTAATTTCGCTTGAAAAGACCTTTTGGATTTTAAATGCAATATTTCGATGAAAAGGGGAACTAGGCTTTCTACAGAAATTTTTGCTTGCCGTAATACTTTGATCTTTTCCAATTTAGATAGAAATTTTGCCTTGGAGCCTTTTATTAATTTCATGTGCCACTTTTGTTCTTGCCGAAGATAGCTCGAACTTATTTAATGATACTTAACTTCAGTAAGTGGACTGTAATATTAACAATAACATTTTTATTTTAACAAAAACAACATTATTGAATACTAGCACACGCATGTGCTTATAGTTACCTATGTAACTTAGCTAAGAGCGAGCAACCATATGCTCTTACATCAAGTCAGAAATCATTCATACTAATAAAGCAAAAACGAAATAACTTTAGGGTTACACTAAAGCCAAACTCTGCTTGGCGTAAAACAATGCTGCCAAGCAATACTCTTTCAGACACCGAACAACTTTGTTGAGCACATCTTGTAAATTTTAGTATTTATCTGTGTTTTTGTTACGGAATTGCTAAGTGTTCGTTAATTCTTAGCTCTCAAATGCATCAAGGCGTGATACTTACTTTCACAATCAATAGATTAGTTTTCTGGAATGTTTATAGAATCAGTAAGCGACATTGTATTGTAGCGTTACATGATGCGCTAATTTCTGAGAAATCGGAAAAGTGTACCAGATTGGAGCGAATTTTGCTGGCAGATTGTCGGGTCAGCCTTAGACATTTGCTTAGAAGTTTCTCATGCAATTCCTGCAACTTCGTTGAATATTCTTCTTTCTGCTTTCAGAGCATATGCTTTTTTCCTGTTAAGTTGTTATATATCTAAAATCATGCTTAGGTTTCCACTATCGGTTGCTGTAAATTCATGCCATGTATTCTACCACTTCTTTAATCTCTGGCCCGTTGATGAAAACCGTTCCTCTAGTTAGGATGAATAGTCACATATTTAACACGTTCTAAAGGAGTGTTATTTTTTTTTTTTTTTCCCTGGAAGTTAGAACTCAAAAACATTTTTTTAAAATTATGTATAAACATTTAATTAATAATTGCTTTTTAAGTGTTATTTCCAGGTACTGAAAAGTAAACATCCGGAATGAAGCGTTTCTTCCGCCTGTGGCTGTCCCACCGAAACAGCATTGAGTCCCATATAAGCGAAGAAAATTCTTATATTTATTTATCCCAAATACGCACCCAAAATTAATATCGTTTAAAAGTTTACAAAGTTTATTGTTAATATCTTTTAAAAAGTTTATATGTTCGAGGTCGAGCTTCATGCATTTACAGTACGCGTACTTAAAATTTGTTTGCAGGAAGGGAGGGTTGCTTTAAGGGAAGAATTTTGAAGGAAACATTCAAGCTGCGCATGGGGCAGAAAAACCATACACAGCGAGCCCGTTCACCAAAAACAAAATCCGGAGAATTTTCAACAAAAGGTACTTTTCTTAATTATATCTGGATTAATATAAATTCTTGAAATAATTCTTAAGAAAGTACCAGAAAAATATTAAAAAGTCAGTAAAAGGCAGTAAAGTGTAAAATATTTTTTCAAAAATTGTTTAATTTTTTAATATTAAATGAATCATTAAGATACCATAAGCCCCGATAATCCGATAATTAACATGGATATAATCTGCTCCAATGAACTATAATCTCTAATAAATGTTATTTATGATATTCTTAGGAAATGTCCAGGCGCGGTAAGATGGCTTCCCCGCAAAGCAGTTTTAGGGTTGCCATAACGTGGCAAGGGAAGGCAGAATTGCCACATTTGGCGAGAAATCGCCCATTTGGCGACAAAAGTGGCGATATCCCATGGACGGATGGAAAACTTTCTGGAACGAATTCTCACCGGTTTAGCCCAGAATGTTCTCGAACACAAGCCGAAAGTTATATAAACCCTGCTGGTCCGCAGTCAGTCAGTGAGAGTGTGCCTCGTCTAGAGTGAGAGATAGTATGTCTCATCTAGTTAGTCCTTGCGGAGTCGATCGAGTTGACAGCCGGGCAGCGAGTGCCGAGTGGGTCGTCGAGTGCATCGAAAGAGTCTCTTCGTGTATCGCGCTAAGTGCATCGTCGAGAGAGCGTGTTGAACCCCGGGAACGACTGAACCG